AAGAAATTATATTAATTATATATATTATATTATTATATATTATATATTATATCATATTTTTATATTAATTATAATAATAAGAGACATATATATATATATATATTGCTAATCAAAATCAAAATATTATAATATTATAATATAAAAATACAAATACTAATAACAAATACTATAGATTTAAATATTTATATTTATATTCATGCAAATTATTCCATAATTAATAGTTCATATTACATACATACATATATATACGTATAAAGTTAAACCTGACCGAAAACTTGCTTTTTTGCCACCCATTGATTATGTAATATGAACTATCAATTTTGAAATAATTTGCATGAATATAAATATAAATATTTAAATCTATAGTATTTGTTATTATTATTTGTATTTTTATATTATAATGTTATAATATTTTGATTTTGATTAGCTATAATAATATGATAACATATATATATATATATATATATATATATATGTCTCTTATTATTATAATTAATATAAAAATATGATATAATATATAATATTATAAAATAATATAATATATATATAATTAATATAATTTCTCATCACATATATATAAATAATAAAAATAGTATAATAGTAAAATACAATAATATATATTTAATTATTTGTCCTCAACCAAGCAGAAGGCCACACCATGTATTTCATGTATGCTAAATATTTACATATTTGCAGGCTGTATAAAAATGGTCCGACCTTCGCGTAAAGGTGACCTCGAAGGCTCTATCTAGTCCTGGATTCCTTGCCAGGGTAGTCATGGTGATCTCCAATGACGGACCGTTAAATTGATACATTCTCAGGCGTTTCGGTAGGAACTTCTCTGAGAGGCACAGACTCTGGCATCGAACTGCCCTCCGTCAAGATGATCAGTTGGCCGATGCCTTTCGCTGAGGCGGCATAATAAGACGCCGATAAAACGCTTTATTCGGTACCAAAGCAACTGTCGATGTCTTAAATTTCGCATGATTACTACGACAGAAGAGATAGGATTGAACATGCTCTTTGAAGTTGCCTTGCCGCCATGAGCAGGTTGTGCAAAACGAGGTCTAACCAACCTACAGATCAGACCTTAAAGAGTGTAAATGAGTCGAATGGTTTTGCTTTTTGCCACCGTTCTTCAGAGCCCGAGCCCCCACAAGGCAATGCAATCATTCTGCTCAGTCCAACGGCTCTTGAGGTCTCCTGGCGAGCGGCGAAGGAGCGCTATGAGGAACTCCGCTACTACAAGTTGACATGGCAACCGGCCATGAAGGAGGGACGTCGTACGTCTAGTGGTGAGATGGAGGAGCCGGTCTCCACGTCGATACTCTTCGACAAGGCCGGAGAAAGGTCGAAGAATGTGCCCGTGGACGAGACGAATCCCACCAAACTGTATGTGGTACCGATAAGTGATCTGCAACCGGATGTCACCTATCAGGTCTCGGTTGCTGCGGCCAACCCGCAGGGAGTGGGCCCTGCTTATCGTTTTCCTATCGTCAAGACGACCTCTGATGGTAAGCAGTCTGCGAAAGTTTGCCATTTTTTCTATCGTTCATAACGCCACTTGTTCTTTCCACGTAGAGCCTCATTTTTGCTACTCGCTAAGCCCCACTTTTTCTAGGATTTGCAGGGAGTGGGAGGAGAGGCATCTTCTAGGATTTAAATTAGCCTAAGAAAGAATATAAATAAAAAGATAGATATATAGATAAATAAACAGACAGACAGATAAACAGACATATATATATATATATTTATATCTGTCTGTCTGTCTGTGTCTGTATATATATATATATATATATAAATATACAGACACAGACAGACAGACAGACAGATATAAATAGATAGACAGATACATAAGTAGATAGAAATAGATGGTATGATTGATTGATAGATATATATAGGTAGATAAATAAATATATGTATATAACTAGATAGATAGATAGAAAGAAAGAAAGAAAGAAAGGTAGATAGATAGATAGATAGATAGATAATTAGATAGATAGATTGGTAGAGAGATAGATAGATAGGTAGATAGAAAAAGAAAGAAAGAAAGAAAGATAGATAGATAGATAGATAGATAGA